AAAGGGGCCCGTGGGAGGCCCGGCCAGGAGCGCGCCCGAAGCAGGCGCGCCCGCTTGCGCGGGGGACCGGCGCTCTTCCCCCGCTGGCCTTGGGGCCAGGCTGGCTACGCCCCGGGGCAGAAAAGAGACGGGAGGCAGTGGCCCAAAGGGAGAGGCTCCCCAGGGGAGGGCTGGGATCCCCGGAGCTGGGTGGAAGCCCGCGCCCTGCATCCCGGCAGATCCTCACGTCTGTCCATTCCTGCGTGTCAGCAGTCAATCCTGAAGACGTCTAGGATGGCGATAGGAATGTAATACTGCCCTGGCAGCGAAAGATGGGCGTCGTACTCCGACACGTCTGGAAATGGCTGCTGTGGGCCTTAGCCACGCCACTGAGTTTTGCGGAGGGGAGAATGCGTGCTCTTCTGCGTCCCCGCGGCCTTCCCACCCTGGTTAAGCTTTTCTTGTGGAAAAGCAGGAGCATCATTACGGAGGCTTTGTCCTTCACAAAAAGCACCACCGTCCGAGTTCATAATGTACAAATCCTCGAGAATTTTAAAACGGGGCAATTGTCTCGGGCCGAGAAGGGAGGGGGCGCCTCTTCTCCAGTCTCTGTCACAAAGCTGGAGCCTAAAAGGAATGACTGATAGATTGATGATGTGCCATCAAGTCGTTATCGAGTCTTATCGACCACAGAGATAGATTTTCTTCATGATGATCTGTCCCTACCCTGGTCTTGCAGGTCTTCCAAGCGTGCTCACATCGCCGCTGTAACTGAGTCCACGCACCTTGCTGACGGTTGTCCCCTTTCCTAGAAAGAGCAAGCTCAGGAGAGCTTGCCAGCCATCGCCACTCATTGCACTTCTCCGCCTCTATGGGGCACCACTAAGCTTCACCACAAGAGCTGGCAGGGGAATCCCCGCGGCTGTACACCTCCGTAAGTGAATCTACTTAGCAACTGCTGACGTGCCTGGTATCCTCTTCAGCCATTGGCCCAGTGATCTAATACTTTGTTTTTGCTGTTTCTCCGGCGCCAAAGTGCGCCGTGGAAGAAGATAAGGGCGGTTTTAAAACATCAATAACCTGTCACTACCCTGATAGCCAAAAATGCAGAGGATCTGCAAGCTCCAGTAATAAAAGTCAGGGACCACAGGGAAAAAATGGGACCAAAATTAAATATAAAGACCACGAAACGAATGACAACAGGCTTACAATTAACAATGAAGATATCCAAGTGGTGGACAGTTTCTCCCTTTTAGGATTAACCCTCAACAGTAAAGGAACAACCAGTCAAGAAATACACTGCAGACTAGCAGCTGGTAGAGCAGCCATGAAGGCCTTAGAAAAGATATTCAGGTGCCATGATGTGTCTCTATAAAAATCAGAATTGTGCAAGCCATTGTATTCCTTGTGACACTATATGGAAGTGAAAGTTGGACTTTGAAGAAACAAGATAGGAAGAGTATTGGTGCCTTTGAACTTTGGTGTTGGAGAAGACTCCTGAGAATACCGTGGACAGCCAGGAAAACAAACCGATGGATCATTGAACGAGTCAACCCAAAATTCTCACTTGAGGCATAAATGACCAGGCTCAAACTATCCTACTTCAGACATATTATGAGAAGACCTAGCTTCTGGAGATAGCTCTAATGCCGGGAAAGGTAGAAGGAAAGAGAAGAGGACAACCAGCAGCAAGGTGGGAGGACTCAGTTAGAGAGGTGATGAGTGCACCCTTGGGAGACTTGAAAGAACAGGTTAGGGATAGATTGTCCCGGAGAAAATCTATGTGGTTGGGCACTAGGAGTTGAAAATGACTTGATGGCACATAATCAAAGTGCGCCCAGTGCACCTGCCAACTGCCCCTTGCCTGTACATTGGAATAAGAAACAGGAAGCACTATTATCCCCTCTCCATATGCTATCTTTCAAAAACTTGTCTGTATATATTCAATGTTGCAAACTTGTGACTGCTGAATAGAAGGCATTTCTGGTCCAGTCTACGTATTACAGCACCTTTGCATATGGCACCTGGAGCTCACACCTTGGCTATCAGAGGACTGCCAAGGCGAGCTCCTGCCCTTTTCACTATTGCAGAGAGACGATAAAGGGCTCTCAGTTGCTGGAACAGTTACCCCAGGGGTATTTCTCCTATCACGTAACAAAGGCATAGACACTCAAGGCAAAGATCAATTTATCATCCCTTTGCTGCAGGCAGCAAACACAGGAAGGAATACAAGTGGTCCTCATTTAATGACCACTTTCAGCAACCATCCAAACTTATGACAGCACTGAATGAGTGGTAGTTGTGACCAGTCCTTGTACTTACAGCTGCCACAGCATCCTTGTGGTTACGTGATCATGATTTGCAACCTTCCCTGCTGGCTTCCATCAAGCAAAGTCAATGGGGAAGCCAGCAAGAAGTCACAAGCTGCAGTCACTTAATGATAAAGGGGACTGCTGGAACTGGCATCACTAAGCAGCACGGTCACATGGCTTTTTGACTTACAACTGTGTTGCTTAATGAGAGTTTCCGGTCCCAATTAGCATTGTTAAGCGAGGACTACTTGTATGAAATTTCACAGAAACACCAAAGTGCCCTAAAGCACCCAGTGTGCCCTCCAGCTGAGTTTGACTACACCTACGTTATCCCCAACCAGCCCAGCTACCCCCAAGTATTGCCAATGCTCCCTTTGGTGCTTATACAAGATTCAACTGGAAGGTGATTGTCAACAGTGAAAGCCAGCAGCTTGGGGGGGGGCGCATTTTAGGATTCAGTTTCTAATGTGGTAGTTATCTGGCTGGAGAAACTATGTAATCATGCCATTAGTATGTAAAAACATTGTGTCCAAGGAATTGATAGATCCAGTAAAAAAAGATAGCAAATGTTACATATGCATTTATTTTAATATATACATTTACAAAACTTTCTATTTGTGTACATAGGTTTTCTAAAAAGCAGTAGGAACTTTCACAAAGCAACAGTGAATCCGTTGATTTATTTCAATCTAAGCCCAGATCAGCCACTTCATCGCTGTATCATCTACCCAAGTGGCTTTCAAAATCTGGACCAATGTAAGAGCCTTCCCCAATTTGAGACCCTCCAGGTGGCTTGGATTATAACTCCCATCCTTGAGCCAGAGATTAGAAGGTCCCAGTATAGCAGTATCTGAGCTGATCATTTAGGAGAGGAGGAAGGCAAAGATCGGAATACATCAAATCCAAGACATTACACAACCTGAGACCAAGAAAAGATGTGGTCTACCTCTGAAGTTGGTAGATGAATTTAAGTCCAGCATCAGCATCTTTTGCCAGAGTTGTTGTTGGTGGTGGTGGATGAGCCATGCCCAGCTGCAGTGACAACCACGACACAAGGAAAAAAAGAAGCAGGGCTTCCAATGCACGCACACCATCTTGATGTTTTTGATCCTCCCTGCAGATGCCCCTACCTGGCTTGACAGCAAAGTCCTCCAACATCTTGACTTGCCAAATCCTTCAATTC